TATATATATATTGGCCCCTTTTTTCCTCATCTCTTTCCAGTGTTAACAATAAACGGATGGAAAATAAATATACATTAGAAAGGGCCGTGTTTTTTCTGCCTGTAAATATGTCAGAGAAGAAGAAGAAAAAAAAAAAGAAGTAGCTCAGTCAGTAATGTGAAAATAATGCATGTCTGGGCTGACTTTGGTTGTTTGGGCGAGAAGACAAATTCACAGCTTAATATACACCACGCAAACACACACACACACAGTGCACTGATGCATACACACACACACACACACATATAAACACAGACACATAAATTAGCCACTACTTGAAGTTGCAGACYCTACAGTGTTTGCCGAGAATGATGCACAGAACTGACCAGAATAAACTTGTTTCATTTACTTCAAACATCAGTCCGCRCCTCTTTAAATAGTACGTATGTGTGTTTATCTACGTCGGTGTGTCTCGGAGAACGCCATTAATTCTTGATGTGAGCCCAGGCAGCATTGATTTATTCAAGAGTTGTACTACGAGAGGAGTCGATAGTCATTTTTTCCAGATCTCTCTCCCTCTCTCTCTCTCTGCTGGGTGGAAACTGCAGTAAATTATAAAGACTCTTTGTGGTCTTGGGGATGTACCGATGCCACGTTTTCACACAGGATCAGGTTTCTTGATATGATTTTTATCTGCTGCAGTGACTTGCCAGTTTCAAGCTTCATATTTTCATTCAGCCTGATAGAGAAACTGAAATATCGCTCAGAGTTGTTACAGGAATCTGAGATTATTTTATCTGTTTGATTTCACTTTCTCCATGCCATTTCATAACCCTGTTTAGTGGGGGGGGGGACTTGGTCCGCTAATATTCCATCTGTATCGGTGCATCCCTACATGTTACTGTTCTCAAATAAAGTAGAGTTTTAGAAGTTTCTGCTCTCTTCATTCCAGTATATCGACAGAACGTATCGACCGAGGCACTCTGCTAAACTTTAGACAGAAAAGGTGAACTGAGAAGATATGCTGTTGTGTTTGATCTGCAGACAGAGCTCCCTGATAGGTTTTATTGATGACAAAGTCAAAATTCACATTAACACTTTCTGTCAAGCCTCGGGAAAACAAATAAAGTAAAACAAAGCTTTTTATTCTGTTTACATTGTGTTTTAGTAGTGTTAAAAGTGAACTGAACCTAGATTTAATTAAGACAATTTTTGAATTTTGAGCCAAAAAAAAAAACATTTTTTGTGATGAGGCCAGAATATTTCAGATATTTTACTGTTTCTGAACCTTACCTGATACAGCTCAAACACTACTGTAGAGGTGCTGGATTAAAAAAACAAACTTTTTTTAAAAAAGAAACTGCTAAGAAATTTGTTGTTTTTGTTGGGTTTCCTGCCCGTAGCTTGAGCATTTACAGTATTAGATGAATTGTTGTACTGTCAGCTGGTTATGGTCCTTTGATTTGTAATAAAGGTRGATAAATCCCCTGTTTTGGGTTAAAAAAAATAATAATTTTGGTCATTGTTTAAGATGACTGTGTGAGAGACACACACACCCTCATATAAAAGCTGTTTTTAATGTGTACTTGTGGCATATCTGTGACAATGCGTTATTAATGTTACTCAAATCCTAGTTTTGGAAAATACGTTTTTTTTTACTTAAGTGTTCTTATTAAAATGTTTAATCTGTTCATGGTTTTTGTTGTCTTTCAGTTTCCATTCGATACATTTTGAAAGTTATTTTTGATACATTTCTTGAGATCTGATCTTGATTAGGTGAAAGTCTCACATGCTGGACACTGGGCACAGATTTGTACTTAGAAGAGAGTAATTATTACCAAATGTTAGGTTTCGCCGCTTCATTAAACGTGCAAGCTTTATATCTGAAACATTTTGAATCAGAGCYAATTCAGAGTTTTTCAATTCTTTTTCAGTTTCCACTTTTTTTGCCACTTTGTTGTTTTGTCATATTAGGAAAATTTTAAGATTTCCTGTAAAGGAATTCCTTTGTTACTGCCTCCATTTGGGGGTAATTAGCACAACGAGCAACATAGGGAATAAAAACAGTAAGAAAACACATTTGAGTTGAGGTAGTAAGTTAAAACTTATTAAAATGCATTTAAAGTAGTTTTTCTGCTTGAATAATCTCAAAAATCTCTACAAAATTGGATGTGTTGAAGGGGAAGCGCTCTRTGTCAGGAGTTGTATTTATGAGCAAATAAAGGTTGTGACCCAACTGTGTGTTTCGTTTATGTGGTAATATTAAAGGAACATTTCTAACCTTGTAAGAAGTTTTATATAAATAAAAAAAATCTTGGTGTCAAACTGGTTTTTAAAGAAATCGCATCTGTTGGAGTAAAACCTTTTGGTTCCTGTCCTAATCAGCAACATAACTTCACACACAAACAGAAAAGTCAAAACAGAACGACGCCTTGCACTTTTATTTCTCGAACAGGCGAGTAGCAGAAACTTCTCCAAACATCCTGGTAGATATTTATTGTGGGATTTCTATGACCTTCACCAAACGCAGAGCAACAACGAACAGAATATAACTGAAAACTGGTCTCGAGGACTTAAAACACTGAATATCAATAACTGTATTCACTCACCCAGAATGCAGAGAGCACGATGAGAAACATACTCTGCCTGTTTATTTTTATCTTTAAAGAAACAGTGTGAATTTATTTTTTAATAAGATAAAATAATAGTCAACTTGCTGCAAATGCTGATACCAGTTCTCCCTAATTAAAGCATTATTTGCTGTGCTGTTTTTTTWATTTTAATTTTATTATTTTTTTGGGCTGACTCGGGTGATAAAAATAAATGTGTGAAGAAATTAGATTAATAATGCACATCTGAACCCAGGTCAAGGAATGTGCAGCAGCTGATAAAATGTGGATAATATTCCACTGTTCCCCTGCTGCGGGGCCTAATAAAGTCGTTTTTTGACCTTTTAGATTTGCAGAGGGCAGCAGGAGGAGGAAGGGTCAGGGAGTTGGGATGCAGAAGCAGGTGTGTCAGGTTTTCCTTTTTTTTTTCTAACAGGGTCTTAAAAGACTCAGCCAAGTCCATTACAGAGGAAAAGTTTTTACTACCATGAGTGAAAGGCCTGTTTGGCAGTGTCTGTTTCTGCAGTGCAACTTTCCTCAACCCCACCACCCCACCCACCCCCCTGAGAACTTGGCTGTCTGTTTGTTTGTGAGGGTGGGGGTGAGGGGGGCAAATAGAAAGACAGGGAGACAATTTGTGTGTGTGAGGAAGAGGGACGGCATTTATCCGGAGGCCTGTTTGAATGGTTTCAGCAGAGCTCCGCTGAATGGGAAGCCACTGCCTGTTGTGTTTGTCCACAAAAGAGCTCTTTTGTTTTTCCAAGGAACAATTGAGCTTTTTCACAAAAAGCCAGAGAGCACGGACAATCTCACCGCTGCCTTGTAGGATGCTCTCTCTCTCTCTCTTTTTTTCACACACACACAAACACCCAGCTCCATCGTTATGCTTAAACCCAGTGTCTGTCACCTTTGTCTGTTACCAAAGTGAAGTAAGAGTAGATGTTTTTACCTCCTTTTGTTTGGGCTTTTTTCATTCAAATCCACAGCAGTGTTGAAAGTTTTTGTAAAGTCTTCTTTAAATAGTTTACTCAGAGACAGAAAACTAATTTGTCCAACAATAATTAAGGGTGCGC